TCCTTCAGTTTCTGCCTACCTTTGTAAGTTGGTGATTTTCCATGGTGGTGTGTTTTCTCGAGTTTGGCTTTGTGGTACAACAAGGCTTATGTAAGACATGTCATATAGACAACTGCCTATTTTAAGCTGATAGCTGTCTAACTTAGATCATCTACAAAAGCTTCATCCTTGAACTCTCCCTTTTATATTTTTGATGTCATCATTTACCTCTTTTTATATTGTGTATTCATCAACATATGAGTAGCTATAGTTATTTGAATTTTTTCTTTTGACTTTCATACACTATAGTTAAGTGGTTGACACATCATTTTGTATGTTTACTTCTATCAGTGTTTCATGGTGCTGATTAGTACTTCTTGCATAGGAGGTCTGGTGGTGGTTTTGATCGACTGGGAAAGTCCTTATTTCTTCTTTACATCTGAAGTGTAAGTTTGCCAGATAGAATATTCTTGGCTGGCAGTTATTCTTTTTCAGTACTTTTAATATGTCACCCCATTCTCTCTCTTGGCTGGTATGGATTCTGCTGAGAAATCTGTTGATAACCTAATGGTGTTGCTTTGTTTATAGGTTAGTGTCTCTTCCCCTGGCTACTTCTAGAATTTTTGTTTGTTTTTTTGACATTTTCTTATAATGAGTCTTGGAGAAGGTCTTTTTGCATTGAGATAATAGGGCAATCTATTAGGTTTGTGAGATTGAATATCTAGTTACCTTTCTGGGTTTGGGAAATCATCAGCTAGTATTTCTTTAAATAAATTTTCTGCTCCCTTCTTCCTCTCTTCTCCTTCAGGAATCTCATTGATCATGTATGCTTTCTTTATTCTTTTCATTCTTTTTTCCTTGTTCTTCCCTGACCATGTTAGTTCTGAGTTCCTGTCGTCTAGCTCGCTCTGTCTTCCCTTTGCTCCACTGTCCATCAGATGCCCTCTATTGTATTTTTCATTACATTCTTTGACCTCTCCAGCTCCAGAATTTCTGTGGGTTTTTTTTTTTATGATTTCTATCTCTGGTTAAAAGTCTCATTTTGATCATGTATTTTTATTGAGATTTTGCTGAATTGTCTTTCTCAATTGTCTTGTAGCTCACTGAGTTTTTTCAAGACAGCAGCTTTGAATTCTTTATAGGCTGGATCACAAAGTCTATGCCTTTGTACTCAGTGGAGAATTACTTTCTTTTGGTGATGACATATTTTCTTGATTTTTCATGTTCCTTCTAATTTTTCACTGCTGCTTTCACATTTGAAGTAGCAGACACCTCCTAAATCTTGGCTAGTTGACTTCGATGGGGTATTCTGTTTGATGGTTTTGTCATCCGGGTTTTCTCTCTCTATGAGTACATCTGCTCCATTCTTCCTGCTTTCCCTTGTGGTGGAATTCTTAAGCTTTGGTTCTTACAACTCACTGCTGACTCCTAGAAACCGCTCTTGTTTTCCAGCAGATGGTGCTGTAGCCTAAGTTTGTGGTTTCTCCCTCGTCTGTTTCCTAGGTGAGTCCCTGTCTACCAGCTTTCTTTCTTGTTGTGCACATGAAAGTACACATGAGGGACTGGCTAAAGAGTTGCGGAAGCTGTGGGTTCTGTGCTCAGGCTCCAGGGGGTGCCTGCAGACCCAGTTGGGAGATCCCTGGGTGCAGTGCTCCCCAAGGCTTGAGGGTGTACTTCCTGCTGCATAGGATTCTTTTAACTCCCCTTGAAATTTTTATCTACCTCTTTCCCAATTCTCCTTCCCCCCTAGGAGTCTTGGAGGTTCTGCCGCAGTACACCCTGGGCTCTGCTGGAAAGAAATAGGTTTCTCCAGCCTCATCCCACACAGCTGGGGTAGCCAGGCACTCACTCACCACTCTCCTTTTCCTTCATGGGAGAGGTTGCCGCTGCAGTTTGGCTCAGTTCCTGTGCAGTCTCCCCTGGGGGTGCCGTGCTGGGGAAGCTTCTCTACCACTGCCTCTGCTGGGACCAAATCCATATTTTGTTTTGGGTTGTTTTGTTTTTTTTCTCAGGAGCATGCCGGAATCTTCCTGTGGAAAGTCTGGACTTCTGCAAATTCTCTCTCTTGTCTATATGGCTGCCCAGGTCAACATTCTCTAGGTTTTTATCCTAACTGCAGCAAGAGGAGTCTGGGCAGGTTTGCTGGCCCCACTAATTCTGCGGGTAGTCCAAGTTCTTTCTGTCTGTTACTGGGTGTATAGGTGGGTGAGCCTCCAGCTGTGTCCCTTGGTGTATGGTGTTAGATCCCACAACACCCACAAGAGTGCTTTTATTTGTGGGTGGATGTCTAGTTTGTTGTTTAAAAGGGAGATAAAAAGGAATGTTTTACTCTGCTGTGATGCTGACATCATTTTCCTTCTGCTTTTATAAATTACCATTTACTCAATAAAGAAAGGTCCTTTATCTAAAGACCTATAGTAGGAAACTTATTTTTAGCAAGACTTAAGTAACTGATTACCAGATAATGAAACAATATTGCATATCTTTTAAAATATTATGGAATTATGACTTTTTAATAAATAGCTTTTCTTTTTTTAAGGATTTTATTTATTTACTTTTACAGAGAGGAGAAAGGAGGGAGAAAGAGAGGGTGAGAAGCATCAATGTGTGAGAGATACATCAATCAGTTGCCTCTTGCATGTACCCAGCTGGGGACCTGACCCCCAACTCAGGCATGTGCCTTGACTGGGAATTGAACCAGCAACCTTTTGGTTCACAGGTTGGTGCTCAATCCATTGAGCCACACTAGCCAGAGCATAAACAGCTTTTCTTACAATTCTCTCTTCTCCCTCTTTCCTTCTCTGTCCACCCTAGTATTCAGACTAAATCTGGGGTGTTTGATTCTTTCCGTCTCCAGCTAACCCTTGAACAACACAGGGTTGAACAATCCAGTTGACTGCATAATCAGTTGACCCACTCAGTTCACTTGACCCGTGCAGCTTCAAACTTGTGCTGTTCAAATTTGGGGATCTGCATGTGCAGAGGGCCAATTTAATTCATATGTGGATTTTCACCTATGCAGCAGGTGGGTGCCACTAACCCCACGTTGTTTAAGGGTCAGCTGTATTCTTTGCTGCAAAGAATGCTAAGGAAAGACATTAGAATTATGGACAATATACTTTTAAAAAATTAAGTAGAGGAATCTCATTATGAGTGCTTGAAGCTTGTTTCTCTATTCCTTCTGCAAAGTGAGCAATATATTTCTTATTAACCCTGGCTGGTGTAGCTCGGTGGATTGAGCACGGGCTGCGAACCAAAGTGTCGCAGGTTCGATTCCCAGTCAGGGCACATACCTGGGTTGCAGGCCACGGCCCCCAGCAACCACACATTGATGTTTCTCTCTCTGTTTCTCTCTCTCTCTTTCTCCCTCCCTTTCCTCTCTAAAAATAAATAAATAAAATCTTTAAAAATATATATATATTTCATATTTTAAATAGTGAAGTCACTCCATCTTGCCATTTTAGAAAACAGCTCTTATTGATCCATTAGTGAAGGAAGAACTATTTTGTATTGCTTTGCTTTCACAGATTTAGGATGTTTCAAAAATCACATTTAATTACCTGTGTTTAATTCATTAGTATTTAAATGGAAAAATATTGTCTAGGTTGAGTTTTGGTGATTCTGTTTGGTCATGACAAATAGATGATTGTGTCAAAAGCCTACCCTTTCCCCAACCGTAGGCTTTCCTGGGGACTCTTGGGAGTTCCCACAGCCCCAGATAGATAGATGGATGTGGTTTCTTCTCTGTGAGGCCTTTTGAGCATCACTGTTTATGTTACCACCTCTTTTCCATAGCTCTGGGAAGATGAACCTGTATAAATGAAGTGAATATAAAGGGGCACATGTGTGTGGTGTGTGAGCATGTATGTCTGGCTTATGTTTTCTTTTGTCAGCCAGAGGAGGTGCATAAAGATTACCTATAGCTCAGGGCAGAAGATAGCATTGTTCCATCTCTTGGTGCCCAGCTTGGGAAATAAAAATAGAGTAAACTGGGGGCTTGAGAGGGAGGCATGATGATGAGATTTAAAAAAAAAAAACTAGCTTTTATTGAGCTGACCTTCTTAATCCTCAAAGAATCATATGAAGTAGGTGCCATCATTACTCTTATTTCACAGGTAAGGAAACAGGCAGGGAGAAGGCAAGTGAACTTCCCAAGGTCACATTTCTGCTAAGTAACAAGAAAGGGATAGGAAGGGACTCTGGTGGTATCCCTTGGAAAACCTTTCCCCCAGACCTGGTATACCATCCTTCCTGGGAATTTTGTTGCCTTGGGGAAGAGAATTGGAGTTTCACTCACGTGCATCTGTCGCCGCCCCAGTAGACAGGGGTATAAGAAACTGTAGAATTATGAAATCTTTGAGTTGATTCCTACCCTTCCCTGATGCATAAATCTTTGTTGAGTATTCCAAGAACTCTTCCAGCCTTTGCTAGGATACATCGAAGGATTAAAGAATTTAGTCTTTCATGAGGCAACCCCATTTTGGGACATTTCTCTGTAGTTCTCTCCGAGTTTGGGGATCTCCCTCTTCTACTTGAAAGTATCAAGGACTCCTTACTGTGTGTGCGTGTCTGCTTTCCTACAAGCTGAGAAATTAGGGAAAGGCCTTCTTGCCCATTGCTGCTGTCTCTAGCTTGTGAATCAGCAGCCCTTTTCAGAGGAAGAAGTAGGAAGCCATGGGTTAGAGTTGGGGACAGCCTGTCTTCAGGAGGGAGTAATCATTAACTACCATGTCAGACGTTCTCACAAATCCCCTGAGAGACTGGAGCTTAGAGGATATCTTTACTACTCTACATAAACGCATTCACTCATACTTGGAAGAACACAAAGGAGCCAAGGTGTGGTTCCTGCTCAGTGTTTTAGCGACCTGTGTGGTTAGTTGCATCCACCACTCACTTCACTGCTTCATCAAGTGACTGCAGAAACTCCGGGAAAGGTCACTGAGGATCATTTTTGCCTTTTTCTACAATGTTTTTGTTATGTTGTCTGTGGGTGAATATGTGTGCTTATCTTCTACCTACAGGTATGCCTCCCAAGAACAATGCAAAGAAGCTCCATATAAACCTCAGCTCTGGTGAAGATGAGCAGATGGCTCTCCTGCTGGGGTCTCTCATTGGTCTGGTGGAAGGAGGGTGATTAGGAAATCTTTTTTTTCCTTCACTGTTTTTTAACAGTGTTAAATGATTTCATTTCCCTGAAATTGTAACTGAGGAATCAGTGCATGTTTTGGTGACCTGGAATGGTACTTTACCTTTTGTTTTCCTCTTCCTACAGACCAGCAGCAGGCATGATGAGCACCAAGGCCTTTATATTAGTCTCTGCTGTGGAGCGGGAGCTGCTCACAGGTGACAGGGAGCGCATCAGCATTGAGTGTGTGGAGTGCTGCGGCAGGAACCTCTACGTGGGTACCACCGACGGCTCCATCTACCACTTCCTGCTGGAGGAGAAGGCTCTGCCTGCTGGGACAGCCACATTCACTGCCACAAAGCAGCTGCACAGACACCTGGGTTTCAAGAAGCCAGTGAATGAGCTGCGAGCGGCGTCAGCTCTCCACAGACTGCTGGTGCTCTGTGACAGCTCCATAACACTGGTTAACATGCTGAACCTGGAGCCTGTCCCTTCAGGGGCCCGCATCAAAGGGGCTGTGGCGTTGGCTTTGAACGAGAACCCTGTGAGCAGGGACCCATTTTGTGTGGAGGTCTGCATCATCTCTGTGAAACGCAGAACCATTCAGGTATTCCTGGTGTACGAGGACCGGGTTCAGATCATCAGGGAAGTATCCACCCCTGAGCAGCCCCTGGCTGTGGCTGTGGATGGACACTTCCTGTGTCTGGCTCTGACCACCCAGTACATCATCCTGAACTACAATACAGGCATCGCCCAGGACCTGTTCCCATACTGCAGTGAGGAGAAGCACCCCATCGTCAAGAGAATAGGGAAACAGGAATTCCTCTTGGCGGGCCCGGGAGGACTGGGTGAGCAGGGTGCTGTCACTTCCACTAACCTTTGCTTCCTGGCTGCCCATTCTTTTTGGTTATCTCCATGACTTCATGCTGTTTTTTAAAAATTTTATTTTTCAATTACAGTTTACATTCAATATTGTTTTGTATTAGTTTCGGGTGTACAGAATAGTGGTTAGAGAATCATATATCAATACTTTACAAAGTGATTCCCTGGTATTTCAAGTTCCTACCTGGGCTCATACATGGTTATTACAGTATCCTTAACTGTATTCCCTTTGTTGCACTTTACGTCCCTGTGACTGTTTCGTAACTACCAATCTGTACTTCTTAATTCTGTCACCTTGTGGTCCAGTCCCCAGGCCACCTTCCATCTGACAACACTGTCCGTTCTCAGTATCTTTGAGTCTGTGTCCTGTTTGTTCGTTTATTTTGTTCTTTGGTTTTATTTGTGCCTGAAGATGGCTCTGGGAAGAAAATTCTTTTTAAGTAAATAACTACAAAAATAAAAATCTATAGGACTACCTGATAAGATTTTCTCAAGTGTGTGGATTTGTGAGTTGATTGTTTTTATTCTTCATCCTAAAAAGGATTTGAGGTACCTCACTGCTAGGTCTTTTCAGATTTGGAAACTTCAGTGTTCTATATATATTGTTCTGTTAATTGACTGAGCTTTCATCCCACCCAAAGGTTCCAGTAGCCAGTTCCTTGAAAGGGCTTTGGCTATTTTTTATGGTCTTACTAGTTCTCTTCCCTGGCGTACTGAAATGAAGAATCAGAGCTGTTAATTTCACTGGTGACTTGTGATGTTTTCTTTCCGTTTTAAGTGACTCAGGCTACAGAGTGTGTGTGTGTGTGTGTGTGTGTGTGTGTGTGTGTGTGTGTGTGTGTATCTGTGTGTGATGCTCCGGTCCTGCCATGATGTTTAGTGAGTGCACCTCAACTATTTACAGTAGAGAAGTGTGTGCAGTCTTCTCATTTCACAGTGATGGGTACAGACACTTTCTGGTAATAGCAAAAATTGAGGTCATGAACTAGGTAGTGTATGCTTCTTGATTTTTACTTTTTTAAAAAATATATTTTATTGATTATGCTATTACAGTTGTCCCATTTCCCCCCCTTCAAACCCCTCCACCCTGCACACACCCACATTCCCCCCCTTTGGTTCATGTCCATGTGTCATAAGTTCTGTAGCTTCTACATTTCCCATACTATTCGTGCCATCCCCCTGTCTATTTTCTACCTAGCATCTGTGCTACTTATTCTCTGTACCTTTTCCCCCTCTCTCCTCCTCCCACTCCCCTGTTACTAATGCTCCATGTGATCTCCATTTCTGTGGTTCTGTTCCTGTTCTAGTTGATTGTTTAGTTTGTTTTTGTTTTTGTTTTTGTTTTAGGTATGGTTGTTCATAATTGTGAGTTTGCTGTCATTTTACTATACATGTTTTTTTATCTTCTTTTTCTTAGATAAGTCCCTTTAACATTTCATATAATAAGGGCTTGGTGATGATGAACTCCTTTAACTTGACCTTATCTGAGAAGCACTTTATCTGCCCTTCCATGCTAAATGAAAGCTTTGCTGGATAGAGCAATCTTGGATGTAGGTCCTTGCCTTTCATGACTTGGAATACTTCTTTCCAGCCCCTTCTTGCCTGCAAGGTCTCTTTTGAGAAATCAGCCGACAGTCTGATGGGAACTCCTTTGTAGGTAACTGTCTCCTTTTCTCTTGCTGCTTCTAGGATTCTCTCCATTTTAATCTTGAGTAATGTAATTATGATGTGCCTTGGTGTGTTCCTCCTTGGGTCCAACTTCTTTGGGACTCTCTGAGCTCCCTGGACTTCCTGAAAATCTATTTCCTTTGCCAGAAAGCCGAAGTTCTCCTTCATTATTTGTTCAAATAAGTTTTCCACTTGTTGCTCTTCCTCTTCTCCTTCTGGTACCCCTATAATTCAGATGTTGGATCGTTTAAAGATGTCCTGGAGGTTCCTAAGTCTTTCCTCATTTTTTGAATTCTTATTTCTTCATTCTTTTCTGGTTGTATTTTTTTTCTTCCTTCTGGTCCACTCCATTGATGTGAGACCCAGCTTTCATTCCATCATTATTGGTTCCCTGTGCATTTTTCTTCATTTCACTTATTGTAGCTTTCATTTTTTCATCTAACTTGCGACCAAAATCAACCAATTCTGTGAGCATCCTGATCACCAGTGCTTTGAACTGTGCATCTGATAGGTTGGCTATCTCTCAGTTGCTTAAAAAAACTGCTTGTGGGGCTTTCAATTCTGTTTGACCCATCTTTTTTCCCCCCCTTTGGTCTGGTCATGCCTGTTACATATGAGGGGTGGAGCCTTAGTTGTTCACCAGGGCGGGGCACCCCAGTTGCTGGGTTGTGATGCTGCATGTGGGGGCGGGGTCGAAAAGGGAACAGTGGCACTTGCTCTGCTCTCTGTGGGACCTCAGTCCCTCCTGCTGCTTCCGCTGAGCAAACTGGAACCCTCTGGTGCCAATTCCTGTGTGGGTGGGCTTATGCACAATGTGGGACTTTCCAAGGACCTCTCCTGCGAAACTGGGAGTCTCTCCCTGCGGCACCTCAACCCCCACAGGTGTTTTCAATCAGTGCCCCAAGGCTCTATTTCTCAGTGCTGGGATCCTGCCTTGCTTGCAGTGCCTTGCTTCACAATTGCCACCTCTCTGGGCCTGCCAGTTGCCACTTGCGTGCTCAGGGTCCACCCACTGCTGTCCTGGGCACCCCAGATGCCTTACACTTGGTCCCAACCCTCTCTGCTCTCTGCACAGCAACCTGCATCCAGCTGCCCGACTCCACCCCTCCTACTGGCCTGGATGAACGGGTCTATTTTAACTTCTTGGTTGTCCAACTTCTATTCAGATCAATTTTCTGTCAGTTCTGGTTGTTACTCTGTTTCTAAATTTTTGTTGTCTCTATCTTGGTTGTGCGAGGAGGCACAGTGTGTCTACCTATGCCTCCATCTTGGCTGGAAGTCCGATTTTTACTTTTTTTAAATACACTATTTATTAGAGCAGTTTTAGGTTCATAGCAAAGTTGAGCAGAGAGTACAGCCTTCCATATACCATCTGCCCCTAAACACATAGAGCCTCCCCTACTGTCATTATCTTCTGACTGAGTGGTGTGTTTGTTACAGTGGATGAATCTACATTAAGTTATAATCACCCAAAGTCTAGTTTATATTAGGGTGCCCTCTTAGTGTTGTACACTCTGGGTTTAGACAGATGTATAATGACATATGCATGGTATTACAGAGTATTTTCACTGCCTTAAAAATCCTGTGTGCACCCTGGCTGGGTAGCTCAGTTAGTTAGAGCATCATCCCAATACACCAAGGTTATAGGTTTGATCCCCACGCAGGGCACATACAAAAAGTAACCAGTGAATGCACCATTATGTGAAACAACAAACTGATGTTCTGTGTGCACACTCTGTCTCTCTCTCTCAAGTCAATCAATCATATTTTTTTTAAAAAAGGAAAAAAATCCTTCGTGCTTTTTCTGTTCAGTCCAACCTCTCAACCCTTGGCAACCACTACACTTTCCACTGGGATCTGGTTGACATGAGACAGTTTGCAACCTTTCACATGGGCTTCACTTCACATAGTCACGTGCACTTAGGTTTCCTCCAAGTCTTTTCATGGCTTGATAGCTCAGATTTTTACTTTTGGGGAAAAAAGATTTTTACCCAATCACCTTTCAAAACAATCCCAATTTTAATGAAAATGTTTCATTATGGAAAGCATATATAAACATGTATGGTAGCAGAGAGCAGTGTAAGGACCTTGATGTGCACACCACCCTGCTTCAGCCACTGAGGCTCCCTGCCAGTTGTTTGGTTTGCACCCTGATCACTCCCCTGCTTGCTAGTTTTGAAGCCAAAAACAGACATCCTAGCATTTTACCTGTAAACATTTTAATATGCAGTTTTGTTATTTTAAGAAAAGGAAACCACAATACCATTACATACCTACAAAAGTTAAACTAATTTTTAAATATCAAATATCAAGGCATGCCATATTTCTGTTATGCATGTAGAGACATACATAAATGCATATGTACATACATTTATGTTTAAGTATGTGCATGTTCACTTTCAGTTTGTTTGAATCAGGTTCATATGAGACCCGTACATTATAATTGCTTGACAGAGCTGTTAATTTTCTCTTATCTTTAGGTTCCCTGTCCTTCTCTTTTTATTTTTCCTTAATTTTTTGGTTGAAGAAATTGGGTCATTTCACCTATAATTTCCCACAGTCTAAATTTTGATGATGTTATCCCCCTATATTATTGAATGTGTAAGGCTGACCTCGTGTTTCCTGCAAACTGGTAACATGAGAGGTTTTATCAGATTCAAGTTTTTTTTTTTATTTGTTTGTTTCAGGGAGGCAAGGCTTATTCACAGGTGGCAGAGGTCTTCTGTCAGGGCTGCATAATTTCTCATCTCTTTTTGTGATGTTAATAGCTATTGATGAGTAGTGCCTACATCCTTTAAATGTTAAGAGGTTCATTAGGATCTTCAAAATAGTGACATTCTATTTCTGTTCCTCCTTCATATATGAACTGCATTTCCTTGGGGAAGAGAAACTTTTCATTGACTATTTGGTTGTCCCCAGGTACCTTTTATAAGGAAGGAAGGATGAGAAGGTTTTCAATAAGGTGATCCCTTCTGTCTTCCAGAAGTAACTTTTTAAAATCATAATTATGAATCATGGATTTTTAACATATACGGTTTATTTTAGGCCATTTGTACTTGCGGGGAGCTTATTCAGGTTGATGGCTAGGTCCCCTTTACATGACCCTAGAACTTTGATAGCTTCTTTACCTTATGGTATGGCAAGGTGTTCCAAGTTCACTTGGTACATTTCCTGCCCTAGATCTGGCTTACACCATTTTCCCAAGGAGCCCTGACGTTTAGAGACATAGGCTGGGTACTAGAGGAGCTTGTTATCCATTGTTTGTAGTCCTTTAGTAGACAGAGCTCAGAAGTTTGCA